GCATCCCCACCATGACAGCCAGGGTGGTAAGCAAATAAATAGATGGGGGACCATGAGGGAGCACACATGATGGGGCCATGGTGATACCAAATCCCAAATGTGGGAAGAGTTTGTGAATGTCTCGAGGGCGCCACTGCTCAAATCATAGGTCCAGCCTTCTTCCATTGTGGGTCAATCTTCTATGATCGCGAAGCCTGGGGTGTCTCCTGGTTATCCATTGGGGTAAGATTCCATGCTTGTAGCATTCGTAGCCTTTCCTGAGGCATGTTTGCTGCTCTGGTTATGGCAGATTAGCAAGTTCTTAAGTGTAAGTGACCAATTGGATGTCCATAATGTATGTTTTACAGTTAGATACTATGTGTTTTTCTTTTGTCTTTTAGTGTTGTATCCCCTATGTTGCCCTATGTTTGCTGAATTAATAATGGTGGCTGCATATAGCAGCTGCTGCCGAGGAATGTAATTACCCTCAATACTGGGCAGTTTTTGACCGGTATGTCTTGGTGCTACTCTAATATTAGATGGACATTAACCATAACCCTAAATGTAGCCTTAATCATAACCCTTATCCTAATAGATCATGTAATGTAAAATAATCAAGATACCTATCTGTGCATAAAGATAAACACCACATAAATTTAAAAAATAAAGTAATACAGTATATCAGGAAGAAACTATAGAGACAATTGTTCTTATAGTGTGTATGCCATATATTTTTATTTGCGACCAAAAGAAGAGGGGACCTTAAGATTCAGCATAGATTATGGCAAGATCAACATTTACCATTCCTACCCTATAGTGTTGATTCCAGAACTCTCTGAACCCTTATTTTGACTTACATATCTTTACAAAACCTTATGTATATATTTTCATAACTTTTCGAGTTATATAACATCCACATTAATCCTCAATGGATTTGTCAATTGCATATTTAGCACTAAGCAATTACTAATCATATACTTTGACAATATGCTCACCTCAACTACAGTATTCCCTGATGTCAGAAATGTCAAGGTAGTATTTAGAGGTTTTAGGGTAGTGAGAAGATGAAAGAATGTATTTTTAGGAAGTAGTTTTGCATCCTGCTCACATTAATGTATCAGGTGAAATCTAAGATGGCTATATTCCAGACTATATTCCAATATAGTACAGTCCATGTCTGATTTCACCAAGAAGTGTGACAATGCTTTTTGTGTATCCCTTTAACTCCATTAGGATGTTCCATGCTGTCATACACAGAGTGGACTTAAATGCCTGTAGGATGCAGATTTGATGTGAGCAGGGTTAAATCCTTGCTCACTCCAGGGAGCCCTGCTCTTCTGCTGGGGCCATTTTTAGTGGTGCCAGACTTTTTGATAAGCTGCTTGCAGCGCTGTGCAATTGCACACAATGTTTGCCCAATTTTCGGACTAAATACCAATATTCATGGGATGTTTCTATAGTTTTCAATTTATTAAAGTCATGGTGAGAAAATGAGTAATTGTCTTTAAAAATGTTATCTTTTAAACTCACTGTTTTACTATTTTGATATATATTTTAAGCGCGTTTTTGATGTTAAAGCTTTAGATTTATCACACTGGCAATACTTACCCAATGGGGTCTCTTTCAAAGTTCATAAGCATACTAAACTAGGCATTTAATCTGTCTTCTATCCTTTCATGATCATCCTAACCTATGTATTGTGAATGGTTTAAAGAAAAAACTATTAAATCAAAAACAGAACCTTTTACGAAATCCTGTCTGTTCTAATCTTCTTACTTCTTTTTGGAAACCTTTTCTTCCTGTCTCTGCTCCGACTTTAGCTAGATGGCTTAGTTTTACAATATCTATGGCAGGTATTGGTATTGACACCTCTGTTTTTTGAGCTTACTTCTCCAGGCGTGCTGTGTCAACTAAAGTATTTTCACCTGGATGTTCTTTGGCTGACATACATAAAGCTCCAGCTTGGTCTTCAGATTCAACTTTTAAAATGTTTTATTTTAAAGCGGCACTGTCATGCCGAGCTTACCTTTCTTCAATCTCTTCCTCTTCTCCCCCTCTCTCAGGATCTGTTCTTCTTTTCTTCCTGTCTTCTTTAGTTTTCTTTAAAATCATAAGACAAAGTAGGGACTCTTTGCCTTATAGAGGTTTCCTCCGCTTGACCAGCAGAGGAGCAAAGTGTGCTTCATTTCCGCTGGTCAGAGCAATTTTCCCATAATTCTTACCTTTCCTCTGTGATCTCACGATGCTTCCTGTAATTTTAGACGAAACTGCAGAATTTCGTTTTAGGATTTGTCTTAGGGGCGGGTGGGGGGGGGGGGGGAGGACAGTAGCTAATTTAATGCATAATATTCGCCTCCCGTCTATAATAAAATCTATATTTTAGATGAAGAAAATCTTAAATTGGTAGTGAAAGTCAGGCATGCTGAATGAAAGAAATTTGCAGAACAACCCAAACACAGCAGAGTGGTATAACTGCATTTTAGACAAAGGCTCTTGGCAGTTTGGTAGGAGCAAGTGAAGCACCAATCAGATGAAATGACAATAGTATATATGCAGAACAAATAGGGTCACACCTTAAAATCTGGATACCAATAAAACACTGCATATAGTGTATTATAATTTTTTAAGCTGTGCACACTATGAATATAAATTAAATCACAGGATATGAAATAAAGATCTTGCCCACAGGTGTCGCCCCACGACGCAAAGGGGGGGCTACACACTCCAGCTTTGCCTCTGTCACCTCTTTGTCTAGTAGAAACAAATCCACTCTATCGGATATAGTGGCAGGAATTTATTCTGCAATAATGCATAAAACACTTTGCTGACTTCTTTGGGAACCATACAGTTAAAAACATATAAAACATACACATGGTCCCTGAGTTGTAAGATGAAAAGCGTACAGATTTTATGCATAATTGATGAACAACCATGTAATTTAAGATAAGTATTACTTATTTGTGTTATATTAAGTTGTATATTGTTTTAGAAAAGAGATTATTGCCCCTGTAATCATCATAGATTACTTCTATAAACCTCCCTTTTCTCCTATTGCTGTCCCTCTGAGCTACTGGGATGACAAGAAGAATATGACAGGCCTGCTCTATGTCTGTTTGCCCAGCAGCTATTATGTTCATGACCACTGTCCAAAGTGTTTTCTATTACCAGGACCCAGGCAAGTCAGTGTCCGGCAAGACAACACATTCCCTACTGCCAGTCACCACATATAATGTGCTTGTGTGAACCATGGTGGAGGGTCTTCTTTATACCTGGTCTACCTGCTCGCTGCTCCCAACTGTATTTGGCTTTAGTAAATATGAGAACTGCCGTTGCAATCGGAATTCAGTCATTTTTATTCAGACGAAATCAGATGTTTAGTGATTAACCTCACTAGGTCCTATGTAATCTCTTCAGGAGAAAGATTAGGCAAATTCATTGGTATCATAACAGTTCCTGATGTCTCTCGCCTTGGAAAAGTTAATACTTATACAAAAAAAACAAAAAAAAACATACTTTAAGATTATGGAAAATTAACAAGGGTATTGCAAAGATTTTGATGAATTTTGCATTGACAATTTTTTTTTTAAATTGAGCATTTTTTAAATTGAAAACTTCAGCTAAAGTTTTGAATTACAACCAAACAAATATTGCATTTTGCATTTGTCAGATGTGTCCAATATTAGCCCAGAAGTGTAAGAAGAAATAAACAGAAATATTTAATCTAATTTAGTGATTTATCAGAAAGAATACACTGAAATTGATCTTAGCTTAAGAACAATAAATAAAGCCATGACTCTAGCTTAATATACTATTTACTGTATTTGTCCGTGTATAGGACACCCCCATGTATAAGATGACCCCTATTTTTTCAACCCAAAATTAAGAAATACACATTTTAAACATATATAGCACTGAAGTCCAGTTTGACTGATCAAGATCCCTCACCGGTCCTCGACCCCCTCACACTCCAGTAGGCCGCTCCCCAAGGTCCCGACACTGGTATTTCATGTACCGCCGTCCTTCTGTTGGCGGCAATGATGCCCTCTGCCTGCGGTACCCTATGGGGGATGTCTGGGCAAGGTCTCACCCTGCGGCGTCTATCTGTAGTCCAGAGCATGCAGTTGCGCAAGATCTACTAGACCAGCGCACACAATCGATCAAATTCACAGAGAAGTGCCTCCTCTGCTTCAAGTATATCAGCAGGTCGCAGAGGTGTACAACACAGTCTATGCCCACAGGAACCTGGCAGTAGCGAAACCAACAGTCAGCTGAGTGTACTGTCAGCAAGTAGCCAAGTTTTGTGCCCAAATTGCACTGAGTAAATACCATAAGTACTTGGCTTAATAATTAGATTTTTGAAGAAGCTCCAGCCACATGCAACTAGCTTGGTTGGATATCAGGCCCCGCACACAAGTGGACTTTTTTAACCACTGCAGTGACATTCCGTTTATAAAATTACCCCAAAATTTAGACTAAAAAGTTTTTGAAAAAAAAACAGTCTTATACATGGAAAAGTACTTTGTTTTGAATCTACTTCTTAGCGGACTGGGCTTTGCTGTGCCTTTCAGGTACCAGTTGAGTATACCAGAACCAACACATAAAATACCCTTGAAACCTCAATTTATTTGATGTTCTACCACAGCACAATGTGACAATTTGTGGTTATTGGAATGGAATGTTGATATAATTTTCCACAAGTAAAACACATATATCACATTATGTCATGAAGGAGTGACCAATGCATTGAATGATGGAGTTACCAAGGCATTGAATAACACTGATTTCTTTGCAGATCTAGATCACTGGAATGATGAACAAGATGAAATGCAGGTATTGGATGCTGTCTGAAAACAATGATGATATAGTCGAGAAGAGATATAGAAATGGGGAAACCTGTCAGGAACTGAGATTGTTTTGTAAAATAACATGACATAATGGGGAGGGCTTTCTGGAAGAGCGATGCAGGGGAGAGAAACATAATTTTACCTTAATTTAACTTTTTTTTTTCTATCTCCACCATAGAAGAAAGCAGTGCATCTTGTTTCTCTCCAATATGGCATTAGAAGAGTTAATTTGACAGGTTAGGGAGTCTCTTTGGCATCTCATGTCTAAAGGGCATCTACACTTGATTCCACCTAGGGCAGATTTGCTTTGTTTTGTGTCATTATGAATTGTGCCATCTTGTAAGTATCAAATTGGCATATTATGGCATAATGCCCAAAAAATTAAGAATTAAAATCAGCGTCAGGTTCTAGTGAATCGAACACAATCCTGTTCTGTCTTTGTTTCCATTGTTATGTGCCTACTGAAATACAGTGCTAGCTTAAAGTTTGGCTATAGTGTCCTCTAGTGGAGAAATGAAAGTATGCATATATGAAAATATGTATTTCTTAACTGTTTCAGATAGTTACATGTACAGAGTTTACAAAGTGTGCAGTTTGAATTTTTTTTTTTTTACATGGGTTTCAGTAAAATTCTCAAAAATATGTATTTTCTTTATGCTATTCTTCTGTTTATGGTTCTCTAATACTTGCGCATCTTTAATAAATACAAACAAAAAGTGCAGAACCAAAGAAGATTGTCTACTGAACTTCATTTGTGAAAAAGGAAGGATCTTAACTTCAAGCAAAATATCAACCTTCCCATCAGACAGCTAATGTTTGTGTTATGTTGTCTTCCTTGCATTGGATTTCAATATCCAGACACCCTCATTTTATTCTAGTTTGTCCATGATGTCTGCAATTTGTCCTTCTGTTGGATTCATATGACTAAGAATTGTTGGTAAATTAATGTAATTTAATCGTGCCTAAACTCTGCAAAGATTACAATAAATCATGCTCCCCATGGCAAAAAGCAGTCCATAATTTTTCCCATGCATAGCTAAAATAATAATGTGAATTTCAAAACAGTAAGAAGTGGAAAACAAAAATAAAAGGACAAAAAAAAAAACCAACCCACATTCCCCCTAAAAAAACAGTGAAGGTGCCACTGGAAAGGAGAACCAACACTTTTTGGACATTTACACCATCAAATAAAATAATGAAAATCAAAGTTAACTTGTGTTAAGATTTTTTCATAAGATGCACTATTTTCTGTAAAATTTATATTAAAAGATGTAGCAAATTACATCTCAATCCAGTTCTAACAAAGCCAGGGCAAACATTGGAGATGAAGAGGAAAAACTATATTTTTCACTTCTCCTGCTCTCTGTATGCTTTTTCAGTGCTGACCGCCAGGACAGAGCTTATAGAAAAGATTGACAGAGACCTAAGATGGAGTAACCCAGTTCCAGGATAAAGAGGTGTACATTTCAACATTCATTAGTTTTCTCATACCTGAGATATATATATATATATATATATATATATACACACACACACATACATTTAAATTGGGAGCTTAGTAAACATAATGTTAAAAGCACATGTGGCAGTTCCATTTTATGTTCAAACTATTAAAATTAGGGTTAGAATTAAAGTAAAGATTAAGGCTATTCCACACATAGATGAGGAGTGTCATAAACATTTTAAATAGCCAATTCACACACCGAGAAATACAAACAGGTATTTCTTCCCTTTCTGTGAGAAGGCACCAGGCCCTAATGGTTTCACTGACAATTTTTTTTTTTAAATCTCAAAGCCCATCGTTAGGCTGTTTTAAAGCCTCTATTTAATCAAATTTATATTGATGGCTTACCTCTTAACGACGCCAGAATGGTCTTCATCTCCAAACTCTTACCAACCCATATCCTTACTGATCTAGATATGAAGATTTTATCAAAGAACTTAGCTACTGGTCTTCAGACATTCCTTCCAGATGTTTTCACTCCTCACCATTTAGATTTTGTACATGGGAGACATGTTACATTTGGAATGAGGAGATGTTTAGCAGCGGTTGCACTGTCACACTTCGAGACATGTCCCCTCACCCATCCTTCACTAATCTGCTTAGATGTTGAAAGAGGTTTCAACACAGTTGCTGGCCACATCTTGTAAGAGTCTCTAAATTAAAATACTTTGTGCATACTTTTGTTGCCTTCATCTAAAATCTGCAATCTAAGCCCAAACCTGAATAATGACGAACAACCTTGACTCTCTCCAAAGCTGAAACCCTACTGAATAAAAAAGTCTTCATATGGAATGGCTCCCCAGTCCAAATTAGTTTAACTACATTTTCAGGGGGTCTAAATTAACCTAACTTTTTTAGGTTAATTTAGACCACAGACTACATTTTTTGGGGGTTTAAATTAACCTAACATAAGGGATTACCAAGCATCCCAAGTTAGACTTGCTTCAGACTGGCTGGGAAATTACCATAGATCTACCACAACTGCGTTGGAGAAAGCAATGGCCCACCCCACAGCCCTATTGGCATTGTTCTACTGCCCATATACATATGGACCACCCCACACAACTGCCAATCCACTATTAGCCACCACAATTAAAGCATGGAAACAATCCAGACTTTGGCTGGGTGCCCACCCTACAAAATCATTGCTTGTGCCCAGTTGTGCTTACTTACTCCACTTCATGGGCGGACTGAATGGTCGGGCACATCGGACATGGTCTGAAGGACGACCAAGGAAGGGGGCCCGCTGCCCAGCCACTCTGTCTGTGTGGCACTGTCACACAAACTAACTTACTGGCAGCCGCTGGAGTTCCATGCATGATAACTGCGCCATCCTAGAGCCCAGCACTGCTTACCCAAGTGGGGAGATGGGATCTGGGGGAGCTGATGAGGATTTCGTTCCAGTGCACGAAGGGAACGCAATATCATGTCATGACGTCAATGTGCGCTACCTACACTGGCCTACATAAAAAGATAAAAAAATAAAATAGAGACAATATTTCAATGATAATTAGGCTGATTGTAAGTGCAAGGCAGACTATTGACTTTAAAAATGCTATTAACAAAGTCATTTATAGTTATTGTGTGAATAGTTGTTGTAACAAAAGGTAAACTGCAGGTCAGGTATAAGGACATGCATTATGATATGCTAACTAGATCTCTATCACACAAGCAGTCTAATCAGTTACCAAAACAGCAAATTCTCATGTATAGTACATAAGTGAAAGGTAAAATTACATAAAGTTAATATGTTTACATTTAAACATATGAAGGGTAAATTGCTTCTGCAGCAAATATAGTGCTCCATTTACACTTATTCTTTTCTGTTATAATCTTATTGCCCACTACAGCCCCTTCGCCAAGTGCAGAGCTGCAAACCATGTGAAAGAGGTCTTGCGAACACCCAGAGAGTTGCCATGGTAACCTGTGGCAACACTCTGGGAGCTCGCGAGACCTCTATCACATGGTCTTCAGCTCTGCACCTAGAGGAGCTGCAGTTTCCCCACTAGAGCCCATATTTCCCTACTAGAACTCCCAGTACAGGCCCTATTTCCCCACTACAATCCCGATTTCCACACTACAATCCATAATCCCTTAAAGCCCACTTCAGCCACTATTCCTCCATTACAGCGCCTATCCCCCATGACATCTCCTAACCACACCACAATACAGTCTATCTCCCCCAATTACAACCCCTAACCCCCACTACAGCCTTTCTCACCACCTACATCCCCTATACTCCTACTATTAGACCCTATTTCCCCATTAGAGACCCTATCCCTCCACTACAGCTCTTATCCCGCACTACAGCCACTATTTCCCCATTACAGACTCTATACCTCATGAAAGGTCCTAACCACCCAACCTCCACACTACAGTCTTGATCCGCCAATTACAAACACTACCCCCTCACTACAGTCTTTCTCATCCCCCTACATCCTCTACCCCCACTACAGCTCTTATTCCCCACTACAGCCCATATTCTTCCATCAGAACTCTTGTCTCCCCACTACAGCCCTAATTCCCCACTTCAATCCCCATTTTACCACTACAGCCCATATTTCCCAACAACAGCCCTTATCCCCACTCTACAGCCCATATTCCCCTATTACAGTCCCTATCCCCATGACAGTCCCTAATCACCTCACCTCTACACTACAGTCTATATCCATCAATTACAGCCCCTATGATGAGGATTTCGTTCCAGTGCACGAAGGGAACGCAATATCATGTCATGACGTCAATGTCTATCCCTCACTACAGTCTCTCATCCCACTACATCAACTTTTCCTCCTACTACAGCCTCTATTCCCCCAAACCCCACACTACAGTCTTGATCTGCCAATTACAGACACTATTCCCTCACTACAGACTTTCTCACCCCCTATCCCCACTACACTTCTATCCTGCACTACAACCCCTATTATCCCATTAGCACCTTTGTCTCCCCCCCTACAGCCCTATTACCACGCTACAATCTCCATGTCCCCACTACAGCCCATATGCCCCCTTTGCAGCCCCTATTTCCCCAATGCAACTCCTCTTCCACCATTACAGTCCCTATCCCTCATGACAGCCCCTAACCACACAACCTCCACACTACAGTCTCTATCCACCATTTACAACCCCTATCCCCACTACAGTCTCTCAGCCCACTACATCACCTTTTCCCCCCCACTAAAGCCCTTATTCCCCATTAGAATCTATGTCGCCCACTGCAGCCTCTAGTTCCCCATTTGAGCACTTTTATCCCCACTTCAGCCCCTACTACCCTACTACAACTCCAATCTCACATTCTACAGCTCCTGTCCCCCACTAAAACCCCTACCCCCACATTACAGACCAGCTAGTCTCATTTAAAAAACTTTTTTCTATTTTGTTTGAACGTTTACCATTCCAGCTGAATGCATTCTAATTGTCTGTAACATTGGTGTGCATTTTGATTTGCCAATAAATAAAAGAGATTTTTTTTTGACCAAAAACAGAAAATATTTCTGGCAATTCTTGTATCCTTGTGTCCTGAAACTAGATTGCTGCCTGTACCTGCCTTAATTGGCCATTGTCTTTAGCCTCTGCCTTGATTATAGATTCTACTGTTTTTGTCAGTGGTTTCTGACCTTTTCCAGTTCATGAATTTTCTATTCATCAAGAGCTTTTTGTTCACCTGGTGCAATCAGTTATGGTATTATTTGTGCATCAGCATTGCATGTTTACCTCTTGATCATCAGCATAATACTTTTATGCCCCTGCAGTCAGCCGTAGATTAGAGGAAGAGAGCTATACATATTTTCCCGGTACAGCGTTTATTTCATATAGTTTTTTTTTTCTTTACAGGTAAATAGTGGGTAGCATTATACCGTAATTACAAATGGTGGACTTTTCTGAATACAACTTATTTTCTTGTACACATCCAGTTTTTATGTCTTTATTAGTAAAATCCCAATATGTACAATA